GATATCGTCCTCTTTTGGAAGACCAAACAAAGTAGTTTCGCTTTCACAATGAATCACACAGCGCCTTCACGACATGGCGGCAGCAACAATACTACAGCGAGAATAAAAGTTATGCCTTCTTTCTTTGCATGAACATTTGGGCGGCGTTATGCAAATCTTCCCACATCGTGACGTAGACATGTGGGGGCGTGTTAGAACGAGCCGTTTTAGGTAGGCGTGGCTGACTCTTAACTATTATAAAGAATATCTCTTTGGATTTGAGACTTTAGTCTTTGCAACTTTACAGATCTTCTTTATGCACCAAGAGCTTGTAACACTCCAAAGAGAAAGGAAAAACTGAAATCGCATCATATGACCCCTTTAAGTGTTGTTACAGACTAGAAGAAAGAAAACATCCAAAACACACTTTTAAGTGTACCTGTGGTTTCATTTGCATTACATTAAAGGTGCAGTGAGCGATTTCTGGAAAATGCTGTTGACATTTGAAATCACCAAAACAAACACACCCCCATCTTGATAGCTCCGCCCCCACATTCACAACACAGGCAACGATTAAAGTGCGTCGTGGTACTCTCATGAATGACACGGAAGAGAAGAAATCTTTGAATAAAGTTATTATTTTAGTTTTCTTTGCACACAAAAAGTATTCTCGTAGCTTCATAAAATTACGGTTGAAGCACTGATGTCACATGGACTATTTTAACGATGTCCTTACTACAGTTCTGGGCCTTTAACGTTTCAGTTGCCTTGCTGTCTATGGAGGGTCAGAAAGCTCTCGGATTTCACCAAAAATATCTTAATTTATGTTCTGAAGATGAACGAAGGTCTTACGGGTTTGGAACGAGTAATTAATGACAGAATTTTTATTTTTGGGTGAACACATGTCCGTCTTGTGCATTGACCTCTGTCTCCTCCCCCAGCACGAGTGGACACGCCCCTTGATGCTGTTTGGTGCTCGGTCCGATCCACTTCTCAACAGAATTTTTCTCAAATTGCTTACTGCGCCTTTAAACACGGCGTCTGACCTGACTGAGGTCCAGTGTCAGTGTGTGTGCAGGGAGGGATTCTAGGATTGGTGTGATGCAGAGATGAGATTCTGTACTCAGTTTGTGGATGTTGGGTAAGACGCTCTTCCCTTTTCTCATGTAAGAGGCACGGAAGCCGTCTAGAGACAGGATGATGAGAGGAGGACGGACAAACCTTCAGCAAACACACACGAGAGCAGATTCAGTGCACAAACTCAGTTTGTATGAGACACACGCACACAAGCACGCACACACGCACACAAGCACGCACACACACACGCACACACTTGCGCGCACACTCATGCACACACTCACGAACACACACACACACACACACACACACACACACTCGCGGGCACACACCTACATCAGCATCACTCACCCTACAGGGCATTCTGGGCTCTGAATCTCCTCACAGTCGCCCTCCAGCCAGGAGTTCTCACCTACAACACACACACACACACACACACACACACAAAATCATAATAAACAGTCAGGATGAAATCTAATTATAGCCCAATGTTATTTTTTCCAAAATTCTGTGTTTTCTGTTTTAATTGTTCTGGATTCTGTTTTAACGGTTTAATTAAATTTTTATCATCAAGTGTGACCTGTGTTGAGTGTGTATGTGTGCGTGTGTGACCTGTGTTGAGTGTGTGTGTCCTGTGTTGAGTGCGTGTGTGTGTGTGTCTGACCCTTGCACAGTGGTCTGTAGTTGGTACAGCAGTCTCCTCTCAGCAGACAGTCGTCTGAACAGTGACAGGCGTAATCCTCATTCCTGATCTCACCGCAGCGCTCCCGCGAACACTCGAACCCTCCCGCTACACACAACCAGTGTTAAAGTTTGACTTTTTATTTTTAATTGTTTATTTTAATAGTATATTTTTATGATTTTATTATTAGCTTTTCATCAACTTATTATCCAAGTTTGGGAAACTCTAAGAGAGGTGTATACTTTCAGTGTTTTATGTGTATATTGTCGTGTGTGTGTGTGTGTGTTTTCTCACCTGTCTTGAGGCACTGCTTGTCGAAGTCGGAGCAGCAGCTCAGGTACGTCTTACACAGATTATCACACCTGCAGCTGGGCGGCTCTGCCTCCTTCAGCTCGAAACAACGGCCCTTACAGGAGCCCGAGAAATCTGACAACAACACACAGTTCTTCAGTCTGATGCGATAAACACACACATGAACACACAGACGTGTGGAGGTGGACTGACCTCTGCTCTGTGGAGGAGTTTCTTCCACATCTCCTGACAACTGACCGGCCTGAAACACATACGCCTCACACACAGCCAGCACCAACACACACACCGCCTGAGGAACACACACACACACACACACGCACATGCACGCACACGCACGCACAAACACACACACACAGACACATGCACACACAAACACAACAAAATTACCAAAACTTTAACTGACATTAAAATGAAAATAGAAATAGAAAAACTTTATTAAATGTAAAAAAATTTCGAGCATCTCAATGATTCTAAAACGTTGTACAAATCTCCACCATTCATTTCAACATCTTCATTTTTAATCATTTTAACAATAACTTTTTCTGCTTGTTCTTTCAGTCATCAATAATGAGCTTCACTGTGTTTGAGATGTTACTGCATTTCCAGCAGAAACTCAGGTGACGTTTTACAAACTTTGATTTGAAGAAACACACTTACAGTATTTGACAACTGCACAAAAAGTAACAAGACAAAGATGTGAAATTGAATTAAAAAGCAATGAAGAAATATAAAACTTTAATAGTAGGCGTAGCATAGCAGCTCAGATGTACATTTTAGTCTGGGACTAGGCTGTCTGTGAAACCGAGGAATGCATTATACGAGTAGCTTTAATTATGCCTTGTAATGCACCTTACATTGCATGAATTCATTGTTTTGGCTTATTTACACCAGTAATCGTGGTAGATATGAGCCTCTAACTTCATGCATTTACATGCTATTTGCACGTCTGTTTTAGACGCTGCATTTCATCGTCTCTGATTATCAATTTGAATGCATTAATGCAATGCACTGGACAAAAGCATCTGCCAAATGCATAATACATGAATGAATAATGAAAACAATAACACAATCTAATCAGGGTTAGTGTAGTCTCATTGAGATAATATTATAGATTTGTGTTAGTTTATATACATTCCGTTTTCATTTTAGTAATTTCGTTGTGTTTTTGTCATTTTTATTAGTTTTTTTTAAATGTCCATATAGTTTTTAATGAACTTTATTTCAGTTTGTTATTTTAGTACTTAAACTAAATGAAAATGTGAAATTGACATCTAGCTGAAATTCGATGTGTTTTTTGATGGGTTTAGTGTTACTTGCTAATATAATAACCCTGAATCTAATGGAATTTCATATATTTTTTATTTTAATTATATAAGCTGAATTATAATGAATCGTAATAAAGAACCTAATAAATAGACAGATGCTTTAGTGATTTCAGTGCATTAAAAATGTTATGCTCATTACTCTACATTAAAACACGCTTATTTCTGAAGCTCCGCCTCTGACAGATTTGCATTGTGTTTAATAGTTTTAAATCTCGTGCGGGACAGAGATGTGAACACAGGACAGTTCAATAGTGTGTGCTTGCGAAATCTGACCTGCAAAACGACCCGCACAGGGATTTATTTCAGAATGTATCCACTAACAACTGCGACACTTTCGCGTTCAGCCCGTGTCGTGTCAACGCGCGTTATAACGGCAGTGAGAGTGTGTTTTCATCGCAATCTTACCAGTTTCCCCACGCGCATGATTCCTGAGAGTCCTGCTGACCGATCGCGCGGCTCCGCTACTGCTGCGCGCGCCCGTGCGTATCTGCGCGTGACCGCGGCACGCGACCGCGTCCGCTTAGCTGCGCATGCGCGGAGAATGCGCGGGAGCGGTTAGTCTGAGGCGAGGCGACGCGGTTCTTTAACCGACACGAAAGTCGTGGAAACTGATAGTATTACTCTTTTTACTTAATTTATACATTTAATTAAGCGATCTTTTAAACTGCCAGAACTGAGGCGGTTTAAAGTGAACCAGTTAGTTTGGGGTAAATGACTCCTCAGAGCTGCACTGACATGCCGGGGATTTTCCCAGAAAAGCTCCTCATATATCCAGCAGGTAAGAGAGAGGGAAGAGCTCTAACATGCAGAGGATTTCTTGGAAAACTGTTCTTTCATCTCGTAACGCTGTAATTATGAGATAAGTGTTAACTCTCATCAGGCTGTTCCCGTGCAGGGTTGCCAGGTTTTCACAACAAAACCCGCCCAAGTGCGACTCAGAACGAGCCCAATCGCGTTCGGGGGTGAAATAGGCGTTTTTTTGGTGGGGTTCCCCCGGTAAAATTCGCATTCCAGGGGCTAGATATCACGTCAACCCGCAGTAACTGGTGTTAAAGTAGCCCAATTAAGGGGCGGACCTGGCAACACTGCGCCTGCACACACTGATGATTGACAGGTGAGACTGACAGATGGTTTTGAAGCCGGCAGCCTCTGATTGGACGGTTTCACCCCTCAACATAGACACGCCCACCACCGGATTTCACCTCTATACTACTTACTGTGATACTTTTATGCCTTGTCCAAATACCCACACTTGCAGTCTTTGCACTTGATGACTTGACTACTTATATGACGTATTTCCTGTATTTGGCCCAAGTGTTCAAGTGAGCATGAAGACCACAAGTGTGTGTCGAACTTTTCATTACCTGATGGGACACTTATAGTGTTGTAAAAATGCAAGTGCTTACATAGCTTTATTTTAATTTTAAAGGGGTCATATGATGCTTTTTTAAAGATTTTGTGTATTTGGTGTAACAGAATATGTTGACATGCTTTAATGTTCAAAAAACACATTATTTTTCAAATACTGTACATTATTGTAGGTAGGCTGTGCCGGTTTTCGGTAATGCGATATATCACGGTAATGAATATGCACGATATTGTTATCGTGGGCTCTTCTAAATACCGTGAATAATTATATATTACAAGTTATTCAGAATTTTGAATGCATTTTAAGAATACTTTTCCCATCAACTGGTCAAAATGCACAACACCGCTGTATGCTGCGTGAAAGACGCGTGCGCACTCTGATGTAAATAAACGCGGACGAGAAGCAAATGGCGGAACGTGAGAGACGCTCTGGATGAACGCGCACTTTCACTCTCTGACAGCAGATGGCGCTAAACTGCAGAAATAATAATAATAATAATAATAATTCATTTAAATTAAACCCTGTAAACAAAGCAGCTGCTCTACTTTGTTTCTGAATTGTGTTTAAATGATTTAAACAGCCATTCAGATGCACTTTGCCTTTTTAAGAATTGGGACAGTCTTGTGCACTTACTTCCTGTCGCGCGCACGCGCTCTCAAGTGGCCAAGACCGCAAGTGTGGGTATTTGGACAAGGGGTTAGGGTGCGTTCCAGTCCGTTTTTTTATACCCTCCCTCCGTCTCGTTTACTCGGATGTACGTCACTGATTACGTTGCATGAGTGCCTACTTCTGGCGGAACCCTTGGAATGGGCTGAACTGGAACGTCCTAAGCCCTTGATCACTTAGAATCCGCT